CTTGCTTCCTACAATGCAAGAAAATATAAAAATTGCCTTCTGTCTTTCAGGAGGGGTTTGAACTTGCTCCCTGCATTGCAATAAAATATAAAAATTGCCTCTTATCTTTCAGGAGGGGATTGAACTTGCTTCCTGCAATGCAAGAAAATATAAAAATTGCCTCCTGTCTTTCAGGAGGGGTTTGAACTTGCTTCCTACATTGCAAGAAAATATAAAAATTTCCTCCTGTCTTTCAGGAAGGGATTGAACTTGCTTCCTGCATTGCAGAAAAATATAAAAATTGCCTCCTGTCTTTCAGGAGGGAATTTAGATGTCTTTTTTGTCTAATAGACATATTTTCATACATAATATTTTTATGTATGGTATTTCGTTAGATATTGACCATTAATTAGTGGTATGGGCCTTTTACCATTTAGGTCTAAAGTTTATAAGCACCTCCTTCATACACTATTTCAATGATGAAGGGTCCTTCCCATATTGGGTGAAATTTACCACTAAGACGCTGTGAGGGATTATAGATTTTTGGCAAACTAGAACAAGTTCACCTTCTTTGAAGCTTCTAGGATGAACCATTCTATCATGGACCCTAGTCATTCTTGCTTTATAGTATTCTAGACTTTGTTGAGCTTGAAATTGAACTTCATCAAGAGCTTCAAGCTCTTCAAGTCGTAAAAGATCATTTTCTTCCTTGATTAATTCGTATTGAACAACAATACGAAGAGATATATGGTAACTCAATCTCAAGATGTAATATTGTCTCGGTTCCAAAAACCAGCGAGTATGCGGCGACTTATGTTATAATTTTGTTAGTATGTGACACCCTTTACCTGCCAAGGCTTCAACAGTTTCAAAAGCAATAGTTACTTTTACTTTTTTGGATGATAAGATCTTCTATGCGGTCTTACAAATTATCTTACCCACTTCATGTTGACATTCTAGTCCTTTATTAGGAGTATCTAGATCATGAAGAATTATTTGAGGATCTCTAGTATTTACTGCTAGACGAGCAATATTGCTTACATATTTACAACTTATACTTGGCCAACTGCAACTGCTGGGCAAAGTTGTCGAAGGAGTTCTTTCATTATGATGCTCATTTCATCAAGAAGAATGTTCGAATGATTAATTTATTGGTCTTTCTTCTATTGGAGAAGTTATATTTCATGTTACAACCTTCTCACAATATCTTCAATTCTCCTTCTTCAACTTCTTCTGAATGTGGGAGTGTTCTGATTGTAGGGATTTCCTATTCTTAATTAAATCGCATTTGGTCTTCAATATGTAGATTTGAAGCTGCATTTTTATGAGTATGCATTCTTTGATTAGGCTGATTGGAGACATGATCAACCATCCGGACATCTTCAACGTCCGTGGGACCAATACACCCTTTCACTTCTTCATCATTATCATAGTAATTATCATCTTCATCCAACTCATGATCTTTTCCAAGTTGGGACCGCCGTTTCCAATGTATGACTGGAGAGTCGGGGGATTCTTTATAGATATGATAGCTTTCCTCTTTTGGCGTAATCACATCAACAGAAGTCTCCTTATTAGGGGACAACTTCTAGACATGAGATTTAAGTCCCCCTTTATAGATTTGTTGATCAAGATCATCTTTCTGAGCTCAAGAATATTTGGGTCTTTTTGGAACCCAAACTTGCTGCCTCCTTGGAGCCACATACCGATGACCAGCAACATCGGAATGTACTTTCGAATGGCCAAATTCATTATACCATTGTCGGGGCCTTCATCATATTTTCGATTATAGTCTTTTATATGTAGACTATCAGAAAGCTCTCCCGATTGTCTTCTTCCATAATATGGATATCGACCCATATTAGGACATAATTCTTTTGGCTATCGGTAGTATGGAGGACGTCTAGACTCCTCTCTATAAGATTTTGTAGAAAATTTGTTGCTCTGAGGTCAAACTGCATTTGAGGACATAACTTCAGTGATAGATTTCCTAAGTCTTCGTTGCAGATTTTTGTCTTTAACAACCTTCAGTATTTTATATATTTTGGAACAGGCATATTCTTCCTTCTTTGGTGGTAGCGGCTGCTGATGCGAAGTCTATCAGAAAGACCTCTTTAATTTTCCTTTGTCATCATTTCTCTTTACACACTTTAACGGTTCAAAGCCGTTATTAGTCGGTACATTTGCTTCTAATTGCAGTGATGACTCTTGAATGGTATCGGGCACCCATCCATTAGCTTGTAAGCGAGCATAGGCCTTTCTTTTAGCTTTCCTGGAAAGTTTAGCACTTGCTTCAAGAATTTCAGCATTATATTCTTCAGGCACTTCATCCTGGATTATGTTCTGATTGGCTGTATTCATGCCAACAGATTGCAGCTTGGGCTCAGGAATCTTTTTTTAAACCGTTGGAGCAACAACAGGTGCCACGGAGAGTCTTGAAAATACAGAGACCCTCTTGGGAGCCTTCTCATCAACAACTTCAGTAGTAGGCTTTTTAGCAGCTCCTTTAATAGTTGGTACTTCAGTAGTGTCTCAGAAAGGAATTGCTGGAATTGTATAACTTTAGAAATAATTCTGCATTGAATGATTGCTCCTGCATATCTTGTATTCATAATGACCTGAGGGAATTACACTTTTGCTTCCTCGCCCAATTTCACAATCATGAATGAGTTTATAGGCGTCATGCTCAGTAACTTAACAACAGAACTTGAAAGAATTATAGTCAACATGAATTCTGTTGAAAAAGAAAATACATAACTGCGTTGAATAAACATCTATATTTATTTTTAGATGTTTTGTTACTTGAGACTAAATATAAGTTTTCTTTTCATCCAAAGATGGAGAGAAAAGTAATCCCCAGTGGAGTTGCCAGAAATCTGTTGGCTCAAGAAAAATGGCACGAATGCACGAATCCCGCTTTGCAACTGTAGGATTCCACTTCCCTTAAGTCAGATTGAAATTAACCAGATTTCTCCTGAGGGTAGTGTCAGGGCTTATAGATCTGGGGTTCTTACTTCCTATGAGCGCAAGCGCCCATAGTTAATTACCCCTCTTACAATGTAAGAGAGAACTCTCGATTAAGGATGAAATAAATTTTAGTTAATTTTAGTCTCAATAGTAGGGGAAATGGAGGTAAACCCGATCAAGATTCCATGGTTCGGTCGTCCCGGGTATACCATAGATTTCAGTCTACCAACACTAGCAATCATTGACCGTAGTGTCCAGGGAATCTGATTAGCAGCCATGGGTTGCCTCCTCTCAGGGATCCCGAGTAGACTGAAGTGGTTAGATGTGGATTTTAGTTTGATTTAATTTGGGTTGGGGCTTATGGCTTCCGTAGAAGTTGCCCGTTAATTTGTTTAGTTTGGGGCTTACGGCTCCATCAGGAGTTGCCCTGATAGTTTATTTAGTTTGGGGCTTACAGCTCCAATTAGGAGTTGCCCAGAGATTTATTTAGTTTGGGGCTTACGACTCCAATTAGGAGTTGCCCGGAGAATTTCAGTTGGATAGGTTTTATGGCTTCCTTAGAAGTTGCCTAACGGTGGGTCTTACGACCTAGCCTCAAAAGCTAAGCAGCCCGAGTTGTGGGTCTTACAACCTAGTCCTTTAGACTAGGATGCCCAAGAATTTTAATTATTTATGTAGGACTTATGACTTCCCTTAGGAAGTTGCCTGAAAAGCGGGTCTTACAACTTAATCGTTTAGACTAAGATACCCAAGTGAGGGGTCTAGGTTTGTGTTATCACCTAAACACTTCCCTCAGATATCGGACCTACGACTTCTATTAGAAGTGGCCGGGGGTTTTAATTGGGTTTAGGGGTTAGGTCAATTTTTACCTAAAACTTTCCCCTAAGGTCGGGCTTACAACTTTCTTACGAAAGCTGCCGGGTAGTGGGTCTTACAACCTAATTCTTATAAATCAGGCTGCCCAAAGATTTAAATTTAGATTGAGATTTATAACTTTTGTAGAAAGTAACTCAAGTATTGGGACTTATAGCTTTCGTAGAAAGTAGCCCGTTAGTGGGTCTTACAACCTGATCCTTATAAATCAGGCTGCCCAAAATTTTGTTTGAATTTGATTGTGTGTTTGTTGATTTGACACCGATGTTTCGTTTTGAGGGGTTTGACACTTGTTTGATGCTTTAGTTGTTTTGTGCTAGTAGTCTTTTCCTTACTACAACAGTTCAATACTCTTCATGTTTTCAGCACTGTTGCTCTACTAGTTTTTCGTACTTGGCATTTCTTGCTTTTCAACACTTCATTCTAAATGTCGTAGCTTATATTTCTCAGCATTCATTCAATTTATGTGATGCTGACTCTTTATTTGTTTGTTCGTAGGTATTCATAGCCAGTGGTTGTAGTAGTTGAGGGCTCGTAGTTGCAGAGGATAGAGTCCAAAGATAATTGCAAGAACTCGTTCAAGAGGGACTTTGGAGAATTTGCAGAGGAGTTCAGTTTGAGAGGTTGTATAGTTTGTGAGAGGGCTTGTAAGTTGTAGAATTGGTGAGGATTTGGAGAGTTTGAGAGCATTTATATATTTGATTAGTGAAAACATTATTTTTCTTCATGCATTTTCTTTTATGTTTAACTTAATTAATCAATTAACTAAAAAAAATATTTTTAGTTAATTATACTAATCTCAATTTCTAAAACTCACATGCTTTAAGGCTTTCAAAATTTAAAAATCTTATATTTAAATTTTTATTTCTTGAATTTCGTATGCTCTCAAATTTTAAAATGCTCTTAAATTTCAAAGGCTCTTAAAAAAGAAATATTTGGATTAAAGTGACGGGAAGAGAATGAGTGCTTGAAGGTTCTCCGCTCCCATGCATTTGACGATATAGGAGATTTTGTCTTCGACACCTGTTTGAAAGATTTCTTATTTCTCTCCATCTCTCTTTCTCTTTTTTTTATTTAATATAATATTATACAATATAATATAATATATAATATATGTATATGTATTATTATATAACTGTATATTATAATACATATTATACTATATATTATAATATATATAAAATAGTAAAAAGAGGGAGAGACACGGGTTGAAGCCCGATCGGGTATAGCCGGAGGCGGAAGTCACGCATAGGCTCGGCGTCGGCAGGCAGCGGCAGAGACGGCTTAGGCGGGTTCTGCGTCGGGCGGCTGGGTTTGGCCTGCTGGGGTTGATCGGCGGGTTCAATCGGAGGAGCGAAGTCGGACTGCAATGAAGGAGCCGAATAAACGACGATGCAATCTCTACCCTCCTGTGAATCAAAGCCGAACAACAAGGAGTGGAAGTCGGACGATGACAAGGGCTTGAAGAAGTGACGTGTACGATCTCTGCACTCCCTACGAAGGAACGAAGACGAACAGCGACGGGCAAACCGAAGAAGCGACGTCGAGCGGCAACGAAGGACTCAGAGGAAGCATTATTATTATTATTTTTTGTTTCTACCGATCATTTTAAAAGGATTGATTTTGCGGTTATCCCATTTCAATCGAAAAGTCGCTGCGTTTGGAAGTAAACCGTGCAAGGTGGGATCGATAGAGGCGGGTATGTCGGTTGCTTCCAAATTTTCATCTATTTCGTTACATTTCAAAATTTTTTTAGTCAACATATATTTCTATCCCTTAAGTTTACCTGCTAACTACTCCATAATTTTATTCGTACCAAGTTGCCTGCTGTGTAGATCAGTTACATTCGCAGCAGGTATTTCTAGCATTGATAGACTTGTATGTGCGATGTTTTAATCTTAACATCTCTTAAAGAAAGCTTTATTGTGGATAATGTTCTTATGGTATGGAATGCTTACATAGATTAGAAAAAAATATATGTTCTTGATGTGCAAAGAAACTTTATGAATAATGTTGAGTATAAACCATTTAGGACAATTGTGTTGTTTGAGCTTGGTCAAATAAATGCAATTTAATTTAAGTTTCTTTAAAATCTTTTCTAGTTTCCTTCACGTTATATCTAGGTGATCTTTGTCTTTTACGGATAGGGGCACGAGGAACTTGATGCTGCAAGTTTGAGGGAACATGAAGAATTTACTAAAGTGAAAAACATTGCAAAGATTGAACTTGGAAGATATGAGATTGATACATGGTATTTCTCCCCTTTCCCGCCAGAATACAATGACTGTTTCAAGCTGTACTTTTGTGAATTTTGCCTCAATTTTATAAAGCGCAAGGAACAACTTCAGAGACATATGGTGAGCTTTGCCTGAATTTCACTATTTTAGATTTTATAGGAATTGCAAGATTTTTGAAGATGAAATGTTTTTTATTGCTTAAGATTGCTTGTTAATTGTATGTGGCATCATGGCAATGACTTTTCCCCTACATTTCGCTTTTTCATACCCTTTCATGTTATTTCTTCTCCATCATGAGAAGCTCTACATGAATTTGGATAAATATATTCGATGCATCTGCGATTGTTTACAATGTTTTTTTCAGTTCTTTATAGTTGACCTAAATATATTCCAGATTTAGGTAGACATTTTAGTCCATTCTCTTCATGATGGTTGATGAACTAGGCAGTTGTTTTTGATTCTCTGCGTTGCTGCTCATCCTTATCTTGAAGGGTTTAGGGGTTTTAGTGGCTTGTTGCTCATGCAACATTTTTTTTGGTAGCTCAGTGCTTATGTTTCAGAAATGCTATATTATCCAAGTGTTCTCTATAGCTTCCTCATTGGTCACCTGATGACTGTGTAGTTATGTTGTTGGATAGTGATCAGTGATGCTCAGCTACTGAAGATGTGCATAGAGCAACTTCTGTATTTGAGTGCTTTTGTTAATATAAATGTTAGTTTCAAATTATTGCTTTTCTGAGTAAGCGGACATTATCGGGTTGATGTACATCAAGGATAATAAATTTCTTAGTCATGTGAATTTCCATGTTCTTATGCATCACATAGCCTTAGAAACTACCCATTTCTAACTCACATGGTCATGTCTGAGGTTTCTTGTTCAGTTCCAATGGTGTTCTAGGTGATTATTTTCCTAATTATCCTCATATCAATTGTTCGTCTTTCCTTTAACATGCAGAGAAAATGTGACCTGAAGCTTCTTCATTGGTCACCTGATGACTGTGGAGTCATGTTGTTGGATAGTGATCAGTGATGCTCAGCTACTGAAGATGTGCATAGAGCAACTTCTGTATTTGAGTGCTTTTGTTAATATAAATGTTAGTTTCTAATTATTGCTTTTCTGAGTAAACGGACATTATCGGGTTGATGTACATCAAGGATAAGAAATTTCTTAGTCATGTGAATTTCAATGTTCTTATGCATCACATAGCCTGAGAAACTACCCATTTCTAACTCACATGGTCATGTCTGAGGTTTCTTGTTCAGTCCCAATGGTGTTCTAGGTGATTATTTTCCTAATTATCCTCATATCAATTGTTCGTCTTTCCTTTAACATGCAGAGAAAATGTGACCTGAAGCATCCTCCAGGAGATGAGATCTACCGTAGTGGCACATTATCAATGTTTGAGGTAATCATATTTGTCTATTATTTAGTTGCAGCTGTTATCTAAAAGGCTCTCTCTTTTATATATGTATGTATCACAGTATTTATTATTTATTTGACCAGGCGATCTTGCTTCATCATTTTTTATAATGAATGTTTCAAACAGGTTGATGGCAAGAAGAACAAGGTTTACGCACAAAATCTGTGCTACATGGCTAAACTATTTCTAGATCACAAGACACTTTATTATGACGTCGACTTGTTTCTATTCTATGTTCTTTGTGAATGTGATGATCGGGGATGCCACATGGTTGGATATTTCTCTAAGGTACTGCATATTGAGTTTCTTTTTATTACATATTTAGTGTTTTCTATCTATTCACAGTAACTTTTGTACATATTATTATCTTTATGATGTATATCTTTTAAGTATGAAACGTATAATTCATTAGAATACGTGTTTCCTCTATGATCATTAATGTCTTATCAAATTTTTTCATCGTCTTTTGTAGGCTAAGACAATATGTATATGTCACTGGTATGGGTTCCAATGGTCAACTTTTAGTGCTAAAAACACGAATAATGCTCAGTTATTACCGTTTCATGGTTCTAAGCATTCAATTACTTTCAACTTCAAATACATCTGTTGTTTCAAAGGTTCTCCATTTGATTGTATATGGATGAAATGAATTAATTGTCTCTATGTTTATTGTTGTTACATGGATTAGAATCTATATTACAATAGGTTCACAGTTATTACTTTATATCGTGCATGTTTAGTGAGAAAGTGATTTGATTGGAAACTTTGTTGTTTTTAGCCTTTAGTCTTGGCAGGAGTAGCTTCGTGCTATACAGCTATAACGCCTAGCTTCCTTGCTTTTTTGTTTTACTTGTTTTTTTTTAAACTATTTTTTACAAAGCTCTTTGTAGTTTCTGTACTTGCATAACACTGGTGTTTACTGATAATGGACTGCTCTAACCTTGCCCGACTCATTTTTGTCTTTTACCCCTTAAAACATTGGATTCGTGCTTAACAGTCTATTTCAATTGTTTGGTTCCAGTTGCTTGTAGCAAACAATTTCTTTGGGTTTTTAGTTGTGATTTAATATGGTCATCTTATTATGAAGGTTTGCGTTATACTTGATTAGATTAGAAATATTTACAAGTTTGCTAGGGTAATTGAAAGCAACCTAAGTTTCTAATGCATGATAATTTTCTTCTTTCGGATGTGTTATTTCTTCATCCAATAAGCCTATATCTAATTGTATGTTGCAGATTATAAAATATTTTCTTTGTTTGATGGCACAGGAAAAACACTCGGAGGAGTCGTACAATTTGGTTTGCATTCTCACCCTTCCTCCATACTAGAGAAAAGGCTACGGGAAATTTCTAATTGCCTTCTGTAATCTCCTGCTCACATGATTGCATCTACTTCATTATGAATTGATTTAAACTTGTCCAATAGTTGATCCTACCACTTTGCTTACTTCCCTGAATAAGATTGATTAATCAATGATTGACATGGTCTGATTCTGTGTTCTGGTGTAAAAATTTTTATTTTTAAAGCTCTGTTCATATGCACTTGTTTACATTGCTTTTTATCATGGGCTGCATAATTTTAGAGTAAAAAATTCCTTTTTATTTTTTATAATAATAATTTAGAAAACATTTACACCTTGTTAGTGTACCTAACTAATTTTTATCCTATAAAAGCTTATGAACTTTCAAAGGAGGGTAAAGTGGGTACACCAGAGCGTCCTCTATCAGATCTTGGGTTGTTAAGCTACAGAGGATACTGGACGAGGGTTCTCTTAGACATTCTCAAGAAGCACAAAGGGAATATCTCAATTAAAGTGAGTTTTTTTTTTCTACCCTATGCAGTGTGATAAAGTCTTCTTGTTATTATTGTCTCTTTTGTTAAGATCACCATTTTTTCATGTATTTAAAATTAAATAAAATAATTTATAGCTGTAAGATCAGTAAAGTTTAGCTTTCAAGCAGCAGACCCACCTCTGTGATCCATTTTGTTGAAAAATATTTCTTCTTCATGCTACCTCCATGGAGGTGGCCGACAGTGCATTTTACTGCCTTATCTAGGCAATTGGTTATTTGCCAACTGCCAAAGGTGTGCATGTTATGCTAGTCTATGATGTATACCACAGAAGCTCCATTTTCAATAGCACCATAGGCTACCCATATACTTTAGTGTGATAGGATTGGACAATGAAGCATGACAAGATTAATGGCAATTGCAAAACCGGAGTAGCTTAAGGCTCTGTTTGGTTTGAAGGAATTAAACGAGGATATGAAAAATAAACGTAATGGAACTGGTAAATAAATTGAGCTTAAATTAGTTTTAGCCCATCTATTTAGCTGAGGACAAATGAATGGCAAAAATATATTTTTTTTTCTTTCTTGTTTGACTGTTGAAAACTTAATTTTTTGTTATTTATGAGTGATATGTGATTTATAATGATGACCTGATTTTCTTCTCATTTTTAGCTAGGGCTAAATGCAAAATTGTAAATTAAGAAAAAAATTTTGTTCACATTTCTCAAGTAAATTCAATTACTTGTTATTACATGGAAATTAAATATCTCATATTAAATTGTGTAGTGAATTTATATTTACATTCCTTCTAATTCTTTCAAACCACACATACCTTAAGGATTTATTTTGATTGAAGGTGGTAGCATTTTTTTCCCTTTAAAATTAGAAAATGTTTCTCATTATGGCAAGTGTTTGATAAATCATCCTATGAATAAAAACATGTAAATCATCTTTCGTTTTAGGCTTTTAGCATGGATGAAAGACAAAAAATTAAAACTCTCTCCCCTAATTAATTCCTCATCATTTTTCTCTCACAAGCTGTAGAGATTGGTAATTTGCATTTCTATTACGCTTGCATTGCTTTGAAGGCTATATTAAGCAGGGCAACAATGAAGGCTGCATTGGTTTTAGATAGGATAAAAACAACAAGGGAAGGCCGGCAATGAAGGCACGACAGTACAAAAAAATTAAAATTCTGGCAATGACAATGAAGGCCCTGATACCATGTTAAATTTAGAGAATTGGAGAGGGGAAATGCTTAATTTTATTGCACAACTTGTCCTTATTTATAGATCTATACAAGACATCTTTAAAAAGAAACAAATAATTATAGAATAATGCATAATTGCTCTAATATAATCCTTCCTAAATCAGCCATCTAAATATGAATCAGCATGATGAGCCTCCCACGAATTTTCATCTTAGCAGTGGGATCAAAATGCCAAGGGACGACTAGGATTTAATAGGTGAGCTTCCCACGGATTCTCATCCTAGCCATGAGATCAAAATGTCAAGGGACGGTTGGGATTTAATATCATGCAACTCATAGGTTGCAAGCTGAGAAAGTTCCTTGAACTTTTGGTGTTCAAAGAGAGGTAGCATTCACTTAGTTTAGGTTAAGAGAATGTAGGAGACTAGGATTTGGGTCCTATAGTTGAATGACTCATGTGAAGATATACTTGGAGGTTTGAGGAACCTCAAATCATCATGCATGAGAGGATATTTGTTGGTTTTGCGTTCCAAGAAATGAGGTGGGAGAGCTTGGGATTTGGCTCCAAGCTCAAGGTTTTATGGCATGATGCATGTAGGATTTTTAGGGAAATCTAACATATCATGCAAGAAAGATTGAATGATGGTTGTGTGTTGATTTTGGTATCAACAAACAAGGCAAACATTTAGGATTTGAAAACCCCCATAAGAGTGTTGACGTAATGAATGAGGAGATGGTTTGTTGGTTTGCATATTCCAACAAAAGATCTAAGTAAAGACTTAGTTTGGCTCTTGTTTCAAGTACTCGCAACATGATGTATTTAGGATTTTAGAGAGATCCATAATACAATGCATGAGGGGGATTGGTGATAACTCCTAGGGCATGCTAGGAGTCATAAAATGAACTATTCGGAGCCTTGGAATTTGGTTCCAAGTTCAACAGCCCATAGCATGTATTTAGGATTTTAGGAAAATCCAAGATAACATGCACAAGGAGGGGAAAGATGATTGTTTGTTGATTTTGTCTCAACAAACAAGGGATGGATGACTCATAATTTATTTCTAAGATCAAAAGGCTCATGTAATATGCCATTTGGAACCTTGAGGAGGCTCCAAAAGTCATGCACGAGAAAAGAGAGATGGTTGTTTGTTGATTTTGTGCTTCAACAAACAAGGGATGTGTTGACCCCTATATCTCAAACCACGTGAGAAAGGACCCCAATTGGTGAATAAAGCATTAAGCGCCTTGGCACCGCACATTACTTGAAGGGCCAAACGACCTCTGATTGCCAAACGGACGATGGCATTGTGATAAAAATATCGAATTCTATTAAGTCGAGGCCCTTCGCAATTGAATCAGACGAGTTCAGTCAAAAGAAATGACCGACACCCGAAATTAAAGCGCGAGGCTAACCAAACAATGTCCAATCAATAAACGGACAAAACCATTATGTCCGGAACGTCATCGCCATTAAGAATTTACATCTTATTTGATCAAATTGGATCGTTTGATGTGATGTCGCAAATTTCAAAGGCCATCTAAATATGATGCAAAGGCACGCATTACGAGAAAGTGAGAGGAGCCGTTAGGCCACTCGACTGACATGACGTCCGATCATGAAACGGACTTCGTCATTGCGTCCGGAACGTTGTCAGCATTAAGAATATACATTTTATTTGATCAAATTGGATCGTTTGAGGTGGTGTCGCAAATTTCAAAGAGCGATTCAAATATGATGCGGAGGCGCGCATATCGAGAAAAATTGCCTCTACGGAGATGAAGCGATGTCGGATCGACAAATGGATAGCGTCATTGCGTCCGCAACATTCTCAACCTCTGAAAACTGTATTTTGTTTATTCAAATTGAAGCATCCATATTGGTGGCACAAATCTTGAGGCGAAACACACATCTTGAGGAAAGAGGCATCGTCGTCGCCCAAATGACTTCTGATCGCGAAACGGATGGTGTCATTGAGACCGGAACATCGACGATACTCTAATTCCACTATTAATTTGTCTGATTTCGATAATCGGCGAATTCGACAGGTAAAACGAGGCAAAAGCACAAATTTCGAGGAAAATGCACAAATCAAGATCGCTTTCATTAACTGATGCATTATTGTCATCCTCAATTAATGCTATTACTAATTATAGCAAATCATTATTAACATTGCCTATGTGTTTAAGCAAAAAATGAAAAGTAAAATAAGATTTCAAATCGCATTAATTTGTAAACCTCGTTATGTTGAAATCCTTCTCAGGGATTCCGTAAATCCCGCTACTGTATCCGCTGAACTCCGGTCGTTTTCGTCAATCCTTCATCTTAATGGCCTTCGCTTTCTTTTGTTAAAACAAGAAGACGAGACAACTCTTGGGGCTTCTGCATCATTTGCCCGCTCCCAACTCCATGCCCGCGGCTCCCCTGGCTTCCCCAACAGGGGTCTTATAGCTCTTCACGGTCTCCTCTGATGGCAGATATTGGCTCCAAGCAAACAGACGTCTTCCTCTTTCTCTATCTTAGTCGAAAATCCCTCTACTTCAGTAGAGGAACACCTCTCGAGTACCAGTCCGTTTCTTCCCACCTCAGTGATCGGACCTTCCTAGCTTTCTGTCATTTGATTCATCCTTTAGTTCATCTTTATAAAGAGGAATGCTGGATGGATCATGCTTGCCTGCTTGTTCATGGTTTTAGTTGCTGAGTATGCAGCAGACCAACGTGCTAAGCATGTTCTTCGTGGAAATCTCAGGCATGATGGTTGGTAATGCGGTGAATGTTACTGGAGTTACCATGAAGAAGCTTTGAGAAGATCTCAAAATTTAAATGAATCTGGACGTAACAGAAGGAAAGCTTCTCCTCCATCTCTAGAGAGTACTACTGGCATATCAAGTTTTTTTTTTGCATGATCTTCCCTTTGTCTAAGAGGAAGAATTCAAATCTGTTTCTTTGCTTTTGAGATTCATAAGGTGTAGGAAGGAGAAGGCAGCAGTCTTGTACCCTTTACTTGATATATGGATATGGTGATGTAGAGAACACGCCGGACGAAGTATATAAAACATGAAGATGGAATATCTGAATATTTCCTATAGATGGAGGATTTAGCCATTTTCCTTTTTGAGATATATGATCTTGCCCGACGCCAACATCCCGCCCCGACAGACCATCTGTCTTCCAACTCAAAATCGCAAGCCAATATGATTTCCTCCACCACACCTGATGCCATCTCATGTGAAGACCACCCAACTCCAAGCCTCTTGTCCGTTTGCTGTACAAAGACTTAAGGAAGGGATGCCACACAAAAGGTGGAAGAGTTTGCCATTCTAAGCAGCAATCCAGTGGCAAAGTTCATTCATATACTCTAGCTCCATAATTATAAAGCCATTCTCATTTTTGACATTAAATCCATTTAGTTGTTGAAGAGAGTTTAGCTTTCCAATTCTATGCATTCCAAAAAAAAAAAAAAATCTTCTCAAGGCAATTGGAAAGCAAAAAAAAAAAATCAAAAAAATATTTGTCTCGATTTTCGAACCCTTTCTCTCTCCCCTACCTCGGCATGCGTGTCGAGTCGGTGGTCTTCCTATACACGCTTTTCTCTAGCGTGGTGGGAGGGGCAACCGGCGCGACACCCATGACAAGGTAGGCGAGAGTCCCTCGGTTCCAATTCCTATTCTCGGCGTTCGTGGCGCACTGGAAAACCACCTATACACGCTTTTCTCTAGCGTGGTGGGATGGGAATCCGGTGCGACGCCTACGACGAGACCGGGATATTCATAAGTACCCGCTCGCGGAAAAATAACTGCTTTTTTTTTCATAAGTACCCGCTCGCGGGAAAACAATTTTTTTT